CACACACACACAGACACACACACACATACACATACAGACACACACACACATACACACACACACACACATACACATACAGACACACACACACATACACACACACACACACACACACATACAGACACACAAGCACATGCTGAGTTAGTAGATAATTATGAGAGTGGAATCATATAAAATTTCCCTAAACAAAATCCTACTTTAAACTCAGGAGAGAACCAGGCAAACGTAATGTCTCTGGTGGCTTTGTAAAAAACGAAAAAAAAAAGAAAGAAAACAATACTAGTCGTTGCAATGCATTATTTTTTCCCCACATAAAACACTAGTAGACGTCAGAATGCATTCGAGGCAACTCAGCTATGTACACGGCACGACAGCGCAAAGACCACACCACAGATATGTCAGCACGGGGGAGGGAAAGGGGGGAGTCTTGCGATTAGCAGCTAACGGGATTGGCTGTTAGACACTGCTATCTACTCAACTGCATTCAGACCCTGTGTGAATGGAAAGCCTCTATACATTAAATATAATTCAAAATTGATGCCCAAATGAGCCCGAGTCTGTCCCATTTAAACAGCTTTATTTCAGCTTGTTTAATAACAATGAAAGTTGGAATCTTTTCTCCTTAATTTGAATGACAATAACTTGTACAGATACCAGAATACCAGGACTGAAACACACAGAGAATCTGGATACGCGACGCTTATAGCCAGGAGTGCACAAATCATACAATAAAAACAATGCATTGAACAATTTTTTTCTTCTTTTTTTTTTAAAGTATAGCCACCAGATTTGTTTAAAATGGAAGTGCCCGCTTCTCTGATTTAAAAAAAAACCAGCAGAGGACAGTAGGGGGAGCCACTGTGCCACAGAGACGGGGAAACCATGGCAAAAATGACAGGACACCAGAGGAGAGGCGACACTGAATGGGACGGGGAGCCGGCGGGCAGCGGTGACAGGGACACAACAGCAACCAGAGAGCACAGGAAGTAGCCTACAGGCCACCACAACTAATGGGCCCCGTAGGGGCGGCATGCAGGACGTCTGACTGGGTACTGTTGGTGATGGGGACAGTGGTACAGCTCAAGGTTCCAGGGGAGGGGTGCGGGGGATGGGGGAGGGTTAAATGAAGGTTACCGTCAGTCCGTACCATTGATCTTACCATGGGGGATTGGGAAGACGAGGTGGAGTCAGCTGGCTTTAAAGAAAGGCAGACAGATCAAAGCTATAGTAGTGCAGACCTCCCAGAGAGAATGATGCTAGGCATGGCACTGGCCGGGCGGCCCTCGTCGGGCACGCACCGGCATTGGTGGGTGGGATGGAGGTGGGAGATGGTTCAGAGTAGCTGGCTCATGATTGGTCGGGCAGGTCTGAGTGGGAGACGAATGAAACCACTGCACTTCCTGTCTGTCGGGGCAATGGCTTCACGATCAGGGGCAAGGCGTTTGTAGAATGCGAGGGGAGGGGCCACTCCCCCCTGTTATTTTTTTACTTGATGTCAAGATCAAGTATGGGGGGGGGATGCTTCTAATGTATGTCTTTTAGATACATGCTTGGGAGGGTGGATCTGGACTAAGGCTGCATGGGGGGGGGGCTGAAGAGGGTGTATGTGTGGGGGGGTGGGGGACGTCAAGTTGGGGGACCTCGAAGAAGTTGAGCTGGAAGATGGGAAGGTGGGATTGAGAGGCAGGATACTTAGAGAAAGAGGCTCCCCTATAGCGATCTCTGTCTTTCTGCCAGGGCTGCCACAGGGGGTGGGGGGTGGGGTGGGGGGCTGTTGGTTAGAGGTGCATGGTCCCTGGAAAGGGAGCCATCCACATTTTTTCCCCTCGACCCCAAATACATACTGGAGTGGAGATCGACCTTGCTGTGTGGGATCGCGAGACTTTGGGACTGCTGGAGTACGCTCTTTCTTATAGGGCTTTGAGGACCTATTAGCAATTATCTCCTCTCCTAAAGCTGTGGTCTCTGAAGAGTGGCTCAGTGGTTCCTCTAAGGCAGTGTTTCTCTACTCAGTCCCCGGGGACCACCAGTCAGTCCACATTTTTGCTCCCTCCCAGCTCCCAGAACACCTGTGCCAGGTATTTGGTGTTTTTGATTGGCTGGGAAGAGGCAGGGAGCAGAAATACTGACTGTCCAAAGGTCCCCGAGGGTTGGGTTGAGAAACACAGTGTGAGGGACGGGGGACAGAAGTGATGGCAATGTGGAGTTTAGAGTTTGGAGCACAATATCACTGCCAAACTGCAGTCTTAAAGGACTAATACAATCTGACATGTAGATATATATATGTGTGTGTGTGTGTGTATGTGTGTGTGCGTGTGTATTAGGTTTATATTACATTGTGGGGACCAAATGTTCAAGTCCCCCCAAAGATCTGTGAATGCAATCAAAAAACTAAAAATGCGAAAAGTCTCATTTTGTTTGGTTACTTATGGTTAAAGTTAGGACTGGGTCGTCATTTTTGGGATTACAGTTTTCCCCATAGAAATGAATGGAGAGTCCCCACAAAGACATAATTACAAGCCTGTGTGTTGTGTGTGTGTGTGTGTGTGTGTGTGTGTGTGTGTGTGTGTGTGTAGGGCTTTAAGACTGGGTGAGTTGGGGGTTTAGCAGTTACGTGGGAAATATCACCTTTCCACCAGTATTTGCACACAAACCCACTGCAGCATAGTGGCAGCATAGAGCAGCCATGACACCCAGCAACCTTCCAAAGAGCAGCTGCAGTGGTTTTGTTGCCCTAACTGAATATTATGGTGCAGGGCTCAGATTACGTTACTGCTTTAAATGAATCATTCGGGAGAAAGCCAGATATTATAAGAGTGCAACTACTAGTTTCATACAGATATGGAAAATATAGCTAGAATACATTATGCTACATAATATCCATCAATATTGCTATGGATTCTATCCCAGTCTACACATTCCAGTTACCTTGGTAACCCAGGAGTCGCTATTGTAGGCCTGGTGTCCAGTGTTTGTTGCCACGGCCACTGCTGCCATGGAAACATCTTGCCATTTGACAGCAAGGACAACTTCCTTTAGCCGACTCAGAGTTTTATGAATTATATGATCAAGTTATCCAACCCAGAAAAAAAATAAAGCTAATACTAATTAACCAGTATTCTATGTATAAAAATGGTGGCACTTTGCAACACCTTTCCCCAACCCAGGGACAATGTGGACTTACCTACAGGACATCTAATGCATGGCTATGAATTATCAGGCTGCCTGACATCGGAGGCCAATGAAGTAACGAGTTTGTTTATCCAGGTCTGTGGTATCTGCCGTTAATGTTCATTAACTGCTGCACTGTATGTCGACAATTAACCTGGGTTACCAGTCTGTATCTGGGCGGACAGGTATCACATCCAAAGAGATGACAGAGAGAGAGGAACATCCATAAAAAATAGCAGTGCACTGATTTCAGATCAGACAGAAATGGTTCAGCATTCAGGGAAAATGCAGAATGGAATTATCAGCAAGACACTAGAACTGGCATACGCTTCGTTTTACCTTCTAGCTTCATAATAACAAACAAACAAACAAACAAACAAAAAAAAAAATATTTTAAGAAGCATCTGCTGGTCAAAATAGTAGGCCAGATTTAGGAACTAGAATGCTGCCAGAAATATAGGACCAAAAATATGAGAATTTAAATCTGGGAGAGCAAGTAAGAAGGTCCGATATATGCCCGTTTCCGGTAAAAGCAGGGCAATCGTGTCTATGACTATTAATTGGCTTTACTGTTATTGGAGTTAATCTGGTTACCGCAGGCCGAAGTGCAGAGGGTTTCTTAAAAGCTCAACTCAAACGACTAAAGGTCGATAGAATAAGAGGAGGAAATCAAGGTCATGCCTAGATTGAAACGTAAATCAAACCAAACCCAAAATAATAAATCATCATAAAGGAGAACAAACTCAGGCTCAAACCAATGTTAGTGCAGAGTCAGACAACTGTATAGCAGAGGAAGGTATATATTTCTGGCCTGTGTACGTATTAAACATGGAGGTGGTCACTCATAAAGGCCTTGGTGAATGTCCCTTCATCAAATCAGTCTGTGCTGCCACTGCGGGGCTGCCACTAGCTTACGAGAAACACCAGCTAAACCCACGGTGTCTCTCTTCAGCAGATACGGTCATAGTGAAGCAAGGAAGGGAGGCACAGAACTGAAAAGGAAGCTACATTTCAGGAGAATCTATAAATATGAGGAGTGATTCTTCGTTAAAATTTTTTTTTTTTGGGAAATCTGTACAATTGTCTTCTACATCAGAGGACTGAACATAAATAAATATTCTTATGCAACTAGTGCCAGACAGACATAATTAGTACTCCGTTTCAGTCAATAAGTAATGGTGGATATATGATAATAATATGTGAAAACTTGTTGATCAAAGGAAGTGACTGAAAACATACTGAAATGCTTAATAATGATCAGTTTAACAGCAGAATCCCTAAGTGAGGGATTAGCTTTAAATGCACGTTTGTCCACTGGCCACTGCAGCGCTGTCTGTTAATGAGGGAATGATCTCTATTCTGTTACAGAGTAAAAAGATGTGTGAATCACTGCACACTGCAAATGATGTTTTATTGAACCAAAACTGATATTTCTAAGTCCATCTGCCTAACATGGGTAATTACCTACCAACAGAGCCACCAAAAATCTGAATTTTTAATATTATAATGAGCTTTAAATATAATTTTTTAAATCACAGCAGCCAATATTGGCTAAATAATTCAAATGAACTCAAAACTAGAATTCAGGGACATTAAAAAGATATATATTCTGAATAGACCGTTTAATTTGTAACATTCACAAATAAATCAAAGCTGAGTTGTAAAAAAATCAAAATTGAGCTGTAAAAATCAAAATCGAGCTGTAAAAAAGCAAAATGAGTTGTAAAAAATCTTTAGTTCTTAATATTAATTCATTAAAAATGTGTTTGTAAACACTTGAACATTATATAAGTTGAAAGCAACCTCAGTATGCCTGAATATATCACCCTCATTTTCTTACTATACAGTGTCGTTCATGCCACAGGGAAGAGTGTATCCCTTCTTAAATAATACGTATGTAAGGAAAATAAAATTAGAAAAGAAAGAAATTAAGGGTTAAGATAATGCAACCGTTGAGATCCTACGGATACTCAGACAGACATAGTGAGAAGCAGGCAGGATCACAGAAAGGTGAGCTACTTACGTTAACCTCAGTGATAGCTATATCGACAATGCTACCCACAACTATTAAGGCGTCAAATGTGTTCCATGCATCAACAAAATAATGCTGCAAAGGGTGAAAGAACAAACGAAACAACAAAAACGAAAGTCAAACAAAACAAAAGGAGAGAAGAGAAAAATAAGAAAGAAAAGTGTTATACACAAATTTTTTTTGTAACAATAAAAAAGGGACTGAAAATTAAAATTAAACAGTGACTGTGAAAATAAATAGAAAGGAAAAACATAATCCGAAAATAGAGCAGGAGAACGGTGATCAGTCATGCGCGTCGACGGCAAGGACAACACCACCAACGAAAATATCGGGAAAGTAACAGTTTGAGCAACGTCCCGGTAGCTGGGATCCTTTGGTTAGTGATAGCATGTTCCGTTAGTCACGTCAAAACCTCCACACACGACACAGCCTGTCACGTAAACAGTTTTGCTCTCTCTCTCTCTCTCTCTCTCTCTCTTTCTCCCACTGGCCCAAGGTCCCTGTAGGTTCTACCTTTGAAAAACCCCCCTACCCACACTCAAAGTCTCCACCAGAGCAGAGGGACACAGCAGAAGCACCCTGTCCGCTGTGTGTGATAGGAACCTGAAGGGGATAATGGCCTTTTTGGATGGGAGGCTGAAGGAGGCTGAGTGACATGGGAAACCGGAAGAGGAAGAACAGGTTACAGATGAAAAGAGGACAGCACAGGGTACAGGGCAGCAGGGCAGAGAAAGAGCAAGGGGATAAGGAGCTGTGATGGAGAGAGAGAGGAGGACAGAGTGACTGCTGGGAGTAGTGACGGTATACTCACATTGATCTCACTCAGAATGACGTCTATTATGCTGCCAATTACGATGAGGAAGTCAAAAACATTCCAAGGATCACTAAAGTAACCCTATACAGGATGGAGGGGGTAGGTGAGGGGGGGCAGAAAGGCAAGTTAGACAGGCGTCATTAAATGCGAAAGCGCTTTTAACCGTTAACTTGTTTCTCACAAAAGGGCTGGGGCAATTTCTCTAAAACGAGTCTGTCTCTTTGTAACAATGGAAGGGTTTTGCTGGGTAATTTTACTCCTGAAAGGGAAGAGAATAGCAGTTAATGGAGTCTAAACATGTCAGCCTCAAGGACTGCTTACTGTAATCCAGTGGAAGTAAAAAAGAAGGGAGGCAAAGGGCAACGTATTTAGTCTTCTTTGGCCGCTTACAAATGTTACTGTTACTGATAGGAGTTTTAAAGTAAAGTCCGGACTTCACTGAAGGCTTAAGCAGCATACTGTGAATTGTGAATCACAAGTGGGACAAGTACTTATATATTTGGGGGAAGAGGTAGGAGCTGGTTTTAAAGAGACAGCATTCTTTGATCGGCCTCGATTAATCGTTTTATCCACATACTGTGTTAAAGGTATTTTGTCTTAAGGTTTTATTTTGGTTTAACGGATTTGAAACACTGCTTGATGCATATGCAGACATGATAAATGTACTTAATGCTCAGCATGGGTTTCCATCTCTGACAAACCCATGGATCACAGCACCAAAGCCTGGGCATGGAATGTTTATGGAGACCCCTGTCTGGTGACATCGCTGCTCCGCCAGAGAGGATTCTGGGTATTCTGTACTTCCTGTTTAAAGGCCAATGAGCGGCTAAGCAGAGTACAGCAGTGCACAAGAGACTTTGCTCTATGTCCCTGGTAAAAGGACAGCAGTGTGCTAGCGGGTGGGAGGGGGATGTTACGTGTTAAGTTGGGATGTATCGATGAATAAATACTTGAGTACATAAATGCAAACTTAAGGTTTCATCTGTATGGACACAAAGGCCATGTACCAATGTGTATTATCACATGGTTCCTTATCTACACAGTAAACATTATCACATATCTATACCATATATATCATATACCATAAGCATACAATTTCATCAGATTTGAATAAAAAGAATCCCCTCCTGTTGCTTTTGAACTGGATCATAATGTATCATGATGTTATGGATCATGTCAAATGGTGTTAAATTTCTGGAAAAATCTATTGTATTGTGTCCACCCACCCCCACTGCAATCATTTATAGCCCTGGACCTGCTCCCCTAGGCAGCACTGAGATCCAACATAGAGGCATGAGGGGAAGGTGGGGATGGAGCCAGTGGAAGTGGGTGAGGGAACTCCATTGAGGCAGGCCACTGCTTTCCAGTGGCTGACAATGATCTTTCAGGGCGATGAAAGAGGTGAGTGAACACCCTCCAGTGGTGGACGTGATGGTAAAATATTGAGGACTGGACAGTGTCCATTACTTAGACCCATGCATGACATTAACACTAACAACAAGCAAACCCTAACAAATACATAGATAAAAATGAGAGAGAAAGAGAGCATGAAGTAAATGATGATTACTCAGGCACTCATTGAGAGCCGCACCTGCTTATTAAGCCTGATGGTCACTTGTTTCTCAAGTTTTACATTGTTATTTGCTGTGGCATTTCATCGTTAACATTAAGCAAGACACCGTAGAGGAAAAAGAACATTAAAAGTGAGAGAAATACATTAAAAGGAAGAGGGTATAGCATCAGAGATGTCATGTTAATCCACAGACTGAGAACGGAGAAGAAGAAAGCCAAAACAATATGACTATCACACAGCGCCCCCTACATGCTGGGGGAATCTCTGCGTGAGTTTCCTTGCGGAGTCTGCAATCCAGAAGCAAGCAAGGTCGTTACAGGTGTACGGTTTCAGAGGGGAAAGGGGTGCAGGTGGAGAAATGCTACCAGTAAAGGAAAAAAAAGATACAAAAGGATATTAGGAAAAAAAAAAGGGAAAAGGAAAAACAAAGCACCTTGGAAGAAAGATGAGACCATCTTTCAACTTTTTTTTTTTTTAATACAGACGTCAGAAAAGGAATCACAGACTGCCATGAATAAAAAGGTTAGTCACCCCAAAAGAGAAGACAAGGGTAGTAGTTTTAAAACACTGGTGAGAAAGTGCATGGTCCTAAATGCTCCTGGTCTGCACTTTAGAATGAGGCACAAATCACACACGAGTCTGCTGAGGCCCAGGGGACACGGAACCAACGGGGTTCTGTCCACGGGAGCCACCACAGAGGCCCTGTGGGATGAAAACATGGTGTCACCTTAAAATCCCCCAAACCCCCAGAGCCAGGGTCTGTTTGGAGGAGGAGGAAGAGGAGAAAACCAGGGAAAGCTGGCCATGGGTCTCGCCATATTTCACTCAATTATTATTTCATTGCACTTTACCCTAGAATGCAAGATCTAGCAAAGCATTAGGGGTAAGCTGGAATAATTTGAAAAAAAGGTGCCCAAATGTATCACTACCCTATTTTATATGAATAACCTTGTCTCCATTGCTAGCCAAAATGCCGTCGACCTGGAACATTCTGTGGCCGTGGGATTAATGGCACTGGCCATGCAGAGGCTAAATTAGCACCGGGGATAAAATGTACCCCTTAAACAATCGTCATGCCTGTTAGTCATAGCGGTTATTAGCAATTAGCTCATTAGCAGAAGATTACATTAAAATGAACTGTGCTTTTCCATTGCCTGAGCACACTAATATGGATTGTAATTCTATCAGGGCGTCCTTTGATAGTTATTGGGACTGAGATATAACAGAATTGTTTTCCTATCTGCTCATGAGAGCAACATGGCTGCGTTATTCTGTAGCAAAACCTTTGGTTTCTGTGTCAGTGGCTGCAGCAAACAAGGACTGCATGTTGTCGTGAGGTGTAACTTGGGTTTTTTACTGAAATTATCCACATTGTAACAGCTGCTCTGTAGCAGGGACTAAATTGCCTGCAAGCTCCTTGTATGGGTTGAAGGGATGAGTTTGAAGGTTATGGGACGGTCCCATGACTGGGACCCACCGACCGCCACTGGCTACAGAGCAGTCATCCCCAAAAGCCAGGAGTCACCAGCACATGTCAGTCCCCTAGGAGCCATCATTGTGGTCTATTTGAGGAAGCCACTTATTACAAGCCATGTTGGTGCTTAAAAACAGACCGAACGACAACCTTCACAGACCGTGTCACAAACAGATGAGACTGTGTCGCAAAACAAAGAAGCGTAAACGGCGTCAGTAATATTTCTTCGGCTGGGAAGAGACACACGCAGGGGACAAGGACTCATACAAAATCATAACAGAACCAACAAAATAATTAATTACTTTCACAATTAAAGAAAGGGTCAGACAAACTCTGATCGTCAGGCAACCCCTGGACAAATCCTCTTTTCCTCCAGTTAAGAAGTTTGCCATTATTCTCAGTTATAAAGGTTAAATTTACAAAGTGTGGTTTTAGCATTGTTTCTGATTAACAGGACATTGTAACAAATTAATTATGCATGTCAGGACCAACAACATAAACATTATCTTGAATACTTTCATTGATTAGAACCTCAAGGTGGCAAACTTCATGTAACCAAAAAAAAAAATACCAAAGATCACTGTTAATGGAAAAAGTGTTGCTGATCAAACAAATGTCCTTCCTATAGGTAAAAAAGCAGTTTGGAAGTAAAAAAAACAACTCAACATCTTTATGAGGAACCTGGGGTCAGCATGTGGAGGTTCTACGTACCCGTGGCTTGAAGGCGATGAGCTTGAGAATCATCTCCACGGTGAACAGGCCAGTGAAAAGCATGTTCAGCACATTCATGGCCTTGTTGAAGGAGGGGGACTGGCCGTGGTGCTGAGGGCGAGCCAAGCACAGACAGGAAGAGCATGCTTTAACCAACACCAGCCACTGCGCACCCTCTCTGCATCGATTAGTTGCAGCTATTCACTGTATTGCAGCTGCAGTTGTGGGGGTTCCTCTATATGTTAACGTTACTATTTTTGTGCAATCCTTCCCCACCAATCAGGTGGCTACCTATATTTCCTTGTCTTAATGTCCATGTCATGTTTATATTATGTTTATATGACTTAGAATTTATATTCTGCTTATTACTTCTTATTTGCAGGACCAATGAGAAAGTGTAGATCATATATATGACGCTGACGATAAAAGACACTTTGACATGCGAAAAAACCTTGAGTAAATGGTGACATTAAGCTACACTTACTCAATGCTGACAGAAGGTCAAAGAACATCCCATTTGCATTACTGTAATGGCTTATGGCTGCACACAGGGGCCAAATGAAGGAGCACGGAGCTGTCTGAGAGCGGAACTGCAGCTCAGTGTTTCTCAAACCAGTCCTCAGGGACATTCAAACAGTCCACGTTGCCCCCAAGAGAGCACAAATGCAGACTGTCCGGCAGTGAGCTGGGGGGGGAGCAAAAACGTGGACCATCTGGTGGTCTCCGAGGTCCGGGTTGAGAAACACTGCTGTAGCTTACATTGCGAGTGACAGCTGGGCTGACTCACCTGCATGGCCAGGCAGATGGTGTTGAGCAGAATGAGGACGAACATCAGATACTCGAAGTAGGTGGAGTTCACCACGTACCACACCTTGTACTGATATGGGTTCTTCGGGATGTACCTCCGCAGTGGGCGGGCTTTGAGTGCATATTCCACACATTGGCGCTGGGTCCATGGGGAAGACACGCATGCACACAGACACGCAACCGAGGGAACGCACGCACGCACACACGGAAGAACACGCATCAATGTCTGACGCACACAGTTCCCAAAAAAGCAAACAAGTCCTTCCAATACCATTTTACCATCTCCCATACCCAGAAAAAATCAGATTATCTTTTACATCTTATGGCTGAACCACATTATGAATCACAGGCGGAATCCTGTGATGATAACTGAAAAGCCACTATTAGCAGTGTTATGAAAGCAAACAATCTAAGCACTGGGGTGCACCCTTTCCCATTAAGCCCCTCAATCCTGCTACCAGCATGACCCATTGGTGCCTAACCTGGTTCTTGTCCAGTTCACAGTTCTTGTATTCCTGCTCCCCTTGCTCCTGGAAGGTGACAATGACGAAACCGACGAAGATGTTCATCATGAAGAAGGCAATGATGATGATGTAGATGATGAAGAAGATGGAGATCACCACGCGGTAGTTGTAGATCGGCCCAATGTCCTCTGCATGGGAGTCTATGGCCCGGTACAGCAGCCTGTGGTGAAGCGAGGAGATATGGCACAGTGAAGCAGGGCTTTACTGTACTTGAACAGGAGTCAGAAGGTGTACATGGCCGTGTGTACCGTGCACTGGTTTTTGGAAGGACATAACTTCAGAGCTTGGGGGCCAAACTTGTGGTGTTTCGGGTGCAAAATAAGTCATTTTTAAAAGTTATTTCTAAAGAAGGAACAGGGCACCCCAATCTAATTGACCTGGACTTCTAATAAGATTCTGGAAGCTCCAGCGAGTTCCATTACAGTTGACCACTTGTAGCCCCTTGGTGACCATACTTTGGGCCAGGAAGGTGAATACGTTTTTCTTCATATGTCAGGCACAGGTGAAACCATCATTATCTGTGAGTAGAGGCACAGATGACTTCATATACCCTGGCCAGCCCTCGAAAGTCGAGACCGCGAACAGCGCCATCATGCCCTGGAGCACGTCGTCAAAGTTGAACTCGCTGTTCTCCCAGATCCTCGTCGCCTTCTCCGGTTTGGCCACGTCCCCGTCCTTGTAGAGGATGTAGGTACCCCTGCGAGGAAGCATGTTTACGCATTAACCAGAGAAACCTGCTTAGTGTTCCATTCCATGTCACGCGCCTTAATAACATGCAAGTCAACACACATACAGAACGACCAATATTGAAGCGAGCAGAGACAGGAGGTCTGCACAGGAAGCCGTACCGATATTCAAATCAATATATGTACAAACATATAAATATCTAAAAGGAAACGCAGGCAGGTAGAGAAACTCACTTGCATTCCCCTTCTGTTTGTTTGGAATTGTCGGTGCAGCTGTAGAACTTGCCCTGGTGATGGGACAGTGCATTTATCAGTCTCAGGAACATGCGACTGTATTTATCAATGCCAGAGATGTGACAGTACAGCAGACAGGGGGCGTCCGGGTTGCGAACAGGGGCAAAGACTCTGCCACCACCTTGAACAGCTGCACTCCAATGCAGGCAAACATGAACTGCAGGAGCGAGGTGACGATGACAATGTTCCCAATGGTGCGGATCGCCACGAAGACACACTGGACCACGTGCTGGAGAGATGGAGAAAGAGAACTGTTGGCGTGAAGGAGACACAGGTGAGGTTAACCTTTCTGGGGGGGGGGGGGGTGCCTGGGGATGGATCGGGGGAGGTGCTGACCTTCAGGCCCTTGGCTCGATTAATGGCCCTTAAAGGCCTCAGCACCCGCAGCACCCTGAGGATCTTCACTACATTAATGGCACTTGACCTGAACATGGGGTAAGTGGTTTGCAAAGGTTAGAAAAACATCTTTTCTGAGACATAATTGGTAGATAACACATGAAAGTATACTTGTTTGATTGTATCTAGGAGTGAGAGAAATAAATATTACACAAACAATTCAATAATGAATAAACAAAGAAAATCTCTGTGTAAAAGATGCCATTTGAGAACGACCAGGTGTTGAGTGCCTGAGACTGAATCATTCTGGGAAATGAAGGAAGGCTGTACTTCAATGTTAGATCTACACAAGATCTACACTGTGTTCTATCAGGTATGAGCATATGGGGTCATCACAGCACTCAGATCTTGGTGTGAAACTCAAGGAAACAATATCCTGACAGCTTATTACACTGTGAGGACAGCACAGACACACTCCCCAGAAGCGGGCGATGAGTTAAAGAAGGACACTCACTGAATCCCAGAGGAGATGAGGGACACACTGACCACCACCAGGTCCAGGATGTTGAAGTAGTTGCGGCAGAAGGAGCCTTTGTGAAGGAAGGCCCCGTAGGCTGTCATCTACAAACACAAGAGGGAACCAGCAAGGTCTAACAAAAGGGGAACGGATATGCACATCTCCAACCACACCTGCAAGCCAATGCCTGGGATTTGTAAAAGAGAGTACATATCTTTGCCGTTCAAGGCAACGTAATTGGTTGACTAATGAGTCCTGGGGTTTCAGGTGTCAATCTGGCACACATTAAATTGCATCGGACGCTCTGCAGGACCCCAGTTGGACCCCAGTTGCTGTGGGATCACACTTAAAAGAAGGATGTAGAGCCATATGGGAAATTGCATCGTACCTTCAGTATGATTTCGATGGTAAACAGTCCCGTGAAGACATAATCAGCATAACCTAGTATCTGAGTGAGAGACACCGAGGTATCAGTGCAGAGTTCAAACAACGTTCTCTTGAAACTAAATTTGACAACCGAAGGAATTCCAAAGCTGAAGAAAAACCATAACTATTGTGATATGCCACTTTGTTCAATTACCATGGACAATTGGTTTTTATAGTGCAGAAGTATTCTTACAGTCCACAGGTAATTATAAAAGCTAATGAACTAGACAAGGCAAGTTTTCTATAGCAAAAATGCTTAATTGCTTGAAATCTGTCTGTCACTGATTACAGAAGTTATTTGCTTCACTGGTTCTCTCTGCGCTGTCGTGTCAGAGTGCTGTAATAACACCGAACATAAATGTGAACAGGAAATGTGAGTGGAATCTGTGCGTGAACCTGATTCCTAAAGGAGTCGTTCTTCACGGGGTCTTCTGCAGCCAGTGAAATGCTGCTCAGCAGAATGAAGAAGAGGATGAGGTTGGTGAAGATGTTGTGGTTGACAATCTTGTGGCACAGTAACCTGAACCTTAGGGAGAGACAGGGAAGGGGTTAGGAGAAAGTGAAAAAGGATCACTTGGCATGTGCAAACGCCTCATCAAAGTCAGTTATGGTAATTATTACAGTACTGCAGAACTTAAAGCCTGAAGTGTTTTTCCCGATTCCTCTGTCTATCAGAGTCTGACATCTAACTTCGGCCAATCTCTTAAATGATCCACATTATACATTGTCTATGGCCAAGCCTCTTAGTCAAGCCGACTTCAGCACAGCCTACTTGTTGGTGTGGCTAAAGATGAAGAAGGCTCGAGCCTCTGGCATGGGAACTGCCTTCTCCTTCAGCTGGATGTCCGACAGCGGCCGGGGCCGGGGTCCCACCGGCATCTCTGGCTCCTCATCATCTTCATCACCTAAAATGACAGGCAGATATCCATATGATAGACAGGGAACTGAAAATATGGAAATATAAACGATTGGCATTATGAAACAGTACCAAATACAAACAGAATTTATGCAAAACCCTCTATACATAAATTATGTCACAATGATTTCCTATTGAAATGACTGGAATAAAACTTCCTTTAGTTTACCTGGAAAATCGTTAGCAGGATATGGGTTCTTCTCTTCGTTCTCATCACCTTGGTATTCATCTATGATGATCTGAAAATCCAAGCACATGCCAGTACTGCAACCTCAAAGCCGTCATTGCTATTCGCATCAAAATTTTCATAATACTTGTATCAGAAAAGCAGCTGGAAACAGGAGAAAAGTCAACTGTTTTGTCAAATGCGTGTGGGCTGAGAGAAAAAACAGATTCATGTGAAAAATGTCAACGACAAAATCCTTTTATCAAAATATTAAAGAAATCTTTCTCAAGCTGATTATTTGTTATGATTGTTATTGCTTCCCTGGATGACAAAAGAAATGTTATATAAACCCCCCCCCCCCCGTCATCTGCCCACTCACCTTGGTGGCCGTGGGTGTCTCTCCATCTGAAGTGATGGATTTCAGCTCAATCTTCTCCTCCTTATGCTCTTCCTCAATCGGTTGCTTTTCATTTTCTGGCCGCTTTTCTGGGCTGGCAGTTCTTCGTGTGACAAAAGGAGCAACGACAATAAAGGACGCTTTTGAATAAAGATACGGGCGGCACCCATTGGTTTATTACACAGGAGTTCGCCTGCATGCTTATTACATACCTTTTAATAGATTCAGTGGCTACTTAACTAGATACACCCGGCTAGAACACACCTTTGCCTTCAGAATCGCTTCTAGGGTGGTCATTCAGAGAAGCCCATACAGCACACTCCTGTTGTACTGAGCTAGTTTTTGCGCTTGTGGCTGTCCTGTTAGTTTTAACGAGTATGGATATTCTCCTGCGACCTCTCTCATTAACAAGGTGTTTTCGCCCACAGACTGGATGATTTGTGTTTATCGCACCATCCTCTGTAAACTCTGCACGCTACAGTGTGTGAAAATCCCAGGAGGGAGGCTGTTTCTGCGATGCTGGAACCACCACGTCTGGCACCAACTATCACACCACGTTCAAGATCTCTTGGGTCACGTATCTTAGTCAATCTAATGCTCAACCAAACAGAAACTAAACCTCTTGACCCTGTATGCATTCAGCCACTTGATTCACTGTTTGGAGGAGCAGCAACAGGAACAGGAGCAGGAGCAGGACCAGGAGCATGATCAAGATTTTCTGCGCATGTAAGTGCAGCGGGGTACCTGGCCAGCTTTTTCCTTTCCTTCTCCTCCTCTTCCTCCTTCTGGGCTGACGTCAAGCTCTCAGCATCTGCAAGATTGTCCACAGCAATGGCCAAGAAGACATTCAGCAGGATATCTGTTTATCACAACTGTCAAGGAAACACCGTGTAACCATCTGAATTCGGAAGTCTTACCTGTGTCTCGCCTCAAAAGACCTGAATTTATATTTTGTCTTCAAAAAGAAGTGATGAAATTTAGTAAAGAATACTAGAAGGAGACCTTTGTAATAAACTGCAAACCAGGTGCAACCATGTTTGAAGAACATTTTAAAGGCCTCCTTGCCTTATACATGTTCTCATGTTCCTGGCGACCAACGCAATATGAGCTCAGAACTTCAGGTACCAGCTTCTCAGAGAGAGCTCTGAAATGGAACTGGAAGCTAATCCAAGGTTAGACCAGAGGATACAGTTTCCACAGATGAAGAGGATGATGAAGTAGATGCAGACCAGCATTCCTGGGAAGGATGGGCCCCCATATGCCATAATTCCATCATACATCACTGAGTTCCAATCCTCGCCTGTCAGGATCTGTGAGGAAAGAGTTCACCCACCGTTACAAAGCACCATGCTGAATCAGATCTTACTGGACAGAATGTCTAACACTGTTAGTTCTTTGGGCCCATGGCTCCCTCTAGTGGCAATGCTGGAACGTGATACCTGAAACACAGTGAGCAGTGACTGGGGGAAGTTATCGAAGGTGCTGCGGCGGGTCTCGTCAAAGTTGAACTTCCCCCCGAACAGCTGCATGCCCAGCAGAGAGAAGATGATGATGAAGAGGAAGAGCAGAAGCAGGAGGGAGGCGATGGACCGCACTGAGTTGAGCAGCGAGGCTACCAGGTTGCTCAAGGAATTCCAGTACCTGCAGGGGCAGATGGACGAGCCAGACAGTAGAATCAGATTTGACTACATCACCCATGAGGCACAGCGACTACACTGGCACCCACCATATATTGAAAACGCCTTTCAAGCAGGGCATGGCCAAAGTCTCTTGTGTCTGTCACCACTCCACGAGGAGCACTGTCCTTTTTCTTTCATTTTTTGGTTTGATGACAACAGATTTGGCCATGAATAATGGAGCTACTAAGTGCTTATCTGAAGAAATCTGGAAAACCTTCAAATGAAAAACATCCTTTTAATCATTCCTCAATGATGAAAGAGCAAGCAGAGAAGTAACAACAGACACAATTTGTGCCTTTTTTTATTGGGATCTGTGTTTTCAGGCTTTTCTTCAACTTCTTTCGGTACAAGAGCTCTCAGCGGGTCACATGACAAACCGCTTAGCCTCCATAGACAATGGCCATGCCTTGCACATTCAGATGGCGGGCGCCAGTGCTGGGATGCCGTATGCATGGCTGGTAGGGGACCTCCTCTGGCTTGCAGCAAGGGGTTTCTGCAGGGGGCAAAGTTCTGGCATTCGGGATAAGATCCATGCTGAGTAAAGGACAGGGGAAAACCGACTCACTCCAGCTGGTTACAAGGCATACAAGAGTTGACGAAGGAACAGGCACTCTGCTTTGGAAACTCACTGAAGAGGAGAAGACAAGACAACAGGTGTGAGAGAGGGGCGTTGAGCCAGCCTGTCCAACCCCTGTCTGACCACTCACCAGCAGAACAACAGACCTCAGAAGGACACAACATAGAGAATTCACAGAGAACATTGAGAGGGAGGAATGCCGTTACTATGGGTTACCAGTCACATGACACACATCTGGCAGCTGGAGGGGTGGGGTGGTGAAGATGACACTGATGACAATGACGACAATGACCTTGGTGATAAATCACATTGGTAACTGCTAATATGGGTGTAAACAGCATTCATAACAGGCAACATCAATGATATACCTTTATAAAGGTAATCACTAGTGCATGTACAGTTTTATGTCTTCAGCAGCATTTAAATATGAAGATAGTATGTTGACTCTCTTTAAACCACCTATCAACTGCTCCGTAAAACTGCTCTCGTTAAATTGAGATGTGGTGATTCGGTCAGTAAAAAAAGATCGTTTACAAGGTGGAAAGTTTAATTCATGTGTTGTTGATGGCTAAAATGGTCTCCTGGGTTCCTGGACTTTCAGAAGCTGTGGGTCTCCAGATGACTAGGAAGAACTGATACTCAAATCAGCTGGTTGAAAATACGCACAGGTGCGAGATACCGGTTTTCATGCTTGGCACGTTGTCCTGAAGGCAGAAATCCTGATGAATGTCCCAATAAAGGTTATAAGGAGCATTCTGTATATTCCAGAGATTAATGTGACAGTTTCAGCCCACTGGGGAAAAAATGTGGCTGTTGGCATTGAGTTAGCAGCAGTGTCACATCATAAAACCAATGTGATTATTTAACGTAGGGGAAAAGCCAAGGAGAACAGTGAATGGAGGGCAAGGTGCAACCAGTGGAGTGCAGAACAAAAAGAACTGAACCTTGAGTAGCATGGTCAATGTGAGTACAAATCACATATGACATTATCACATATATCATGTGATAGGGGCATGGTCATGTGATAAGAGAATGGTCATGTGATAGGTCACATGATAGGAGTATGGTCATGTGATAGGCCATGACCTCTGGTTAATCTTTGCTCCAGAACAACAAAATAATGAGTGGTGGTCAGCACAGACCAGAGTACCCAGAATACCATTACCGTGGCGTGAAGGCGACGATGCAGCACTCCATCAACCTGAACAGGATGACGATGACTGCTTGTTGTGGTGAAGCACAGTATCAGTAACAGGGTGACAGGACAGCACAGGTGAGGTGATAGCACAGGTGACGTTACTATAGTGACAGAGACAGGTGGAGGCTTTCGCTTGGGCGGGTGAGAAGGGAGGTGCACCTGGTGATCTTGAAGATGCGCAGGAGGCGCACACAGCGCAGGACTGAAATGCCCAGCGGGGACATGATCTTCGTCTCCACCAAGATGGTCTCCAGGATGCCACCGCACACCACGAAGCTGTCGAAGCGGTTGAAGAGGGACACGAAGTAGGCCTGCAGGCCCAGGCTGTACATCTTCAGCAGCATCTCGCCCGTGAACAGAGCCAGCAGCACCTTGTTGGCGATGTCTGGGGGACACCCAGCACACAGTTACGTCACGACCTCAGAAACCACAAATCACAGATGCAGCCCCATGCAGGCACTCAAACAGAAACAGACACTGATTGGTCAGAAACCCATAACCTATCAGAGATCATAGTCGCACTGTGCATTGACTGACAGATGGACCCTAAGACCCACACTATTCCATCAACAGTCACAGGACACCTCAGTGATTGCAAGAAAACAGGTGTGGATACAAAATATGCAAATACTTCATATTATTGAGAATCACATTATAATATGACGTTAGCCAGCTGCATTAATGCAAGGGACAGGACATTTTTGGGATGAACTGGAACATAGAATTAGGGCAAGGTCAAGATAGTTCTCTAAAGGAGGAGCGGAGCAAAATACCACTGGTACTGATACTGAATGCTGCCATGACTCACTGGGGCAGGGAATAAGGCCAGAGGCATGCTGACACTGTCTATTTCTATCCACTTGAAGGATCTATACATCAAATCGATCCATCCTACTGATCCAGTCATCTGCATCAATCTGCTCTCTGTGCACGGCCTCTGGCAGCAGCCAGGCAGGACTGCTAACCCCCAGTCAATAGCAACAGAACAGATAATCCCATTGTATGTGTACGTGTGATCTGTGAGTCAGTCATGTAAAGATAGTATTTACTGTGAGCATCACTCAATTACTGCTGGGGCAAAAGGGGAAAGGACAAAATGGGTCTTTGTGTTTTGTGAGATCTGATGCAGTACATTGAAAAAATACTCAGCAGTTTGGCTGGTTCAACTCATAACCTTATGTCCCATTACTTTGCTAATGGGTCACATATACACTGTGCATTACCACCCCCGCCCCCCCATGCCAGAGTGGAGGCCACGCCCAGTGCCCCTCCCCTTGGGCAGGGCTGCACCTTGCACATCCGTGAGCCACTGGGGCTGCTTGTGGTGCTCCGAGGCAATGGTCAGCGTGTTGAGGAAGACCAGAAAGATCACCAGCCAGTAGAAGACGTTGGACTTCACCGCCGCTCGGCTCTTTCTCCGGCACAGGCGGTTCCAACGCCGCGAATACCGGCTGCAGGCAGAGAGGAGGAGTGCGAGAGGGACATGGGAAAAACAGCCTCTTACTGACACACTTAGAGACGTCTAAGGCTTCATTTACAAATAAGAAATCCCTTCAGGGAGAAAGAATACATATTTAGCTTGAATTAATGGCTCTACAGGTTTGAAATGGACATAAAGCTAAATACAAATTTTAATTTTTTTCACAATTGGTAAATTTTCTTACGAAGTGGACTTATCTTTTGCAATTTGAAAGTACAAGATGAAAAACTAGTATTTTAATTCAACTAATGGAATCTCCTGTTGAAAGGAATCCCAGTTGAAATTGAAAAAAAGGAGCATAAAATACAAAAGACACCAGTTGCTCATATTTCCTTCTGGATTGGAGGAAGAAACCACCATATTGGTCAGGAGAGCAAGGTCAAAGGTCATCTAGGAATCTACAGCTAAAGTAGTGCCACTGCCAGTCCTGCCGGAGACCTCGTGAAGCCTCATGTGAGGCCGTTTCTGATTAGTCGGTGTCACGGAAACGCTCGGCAATTCGGCACAGGCCACGCTGGGGGCTGCGCACACACACGTGTACACGCGCGCACACGAACAGCACAGCACGAGACTCACACAGCGAGCTCCAATCACAACAGGACGGCAGCGTGCACAGCAGCACAGCCCAGGGGGCACCTCTGACATGATGTACTAACCTGAACTTGGATTTGGAGATCCTATTTCTGGAACAAAAAACAGAATGGATTATACACATGAAACAGGACATGACATCATGGGAGACATCTTTTCAGAGAGAAGACAGTAAACAACATGTCAGTGGTGATGGGCAATGACAGACATAGCACAAGTGGGTATAACTGCTTCCACTTGGGGAAAACAAAAACACTGGAATGCCTCTGGATCAGAATTAATTAATTTCTATATTAACACCTTTCCTGAGATTTAAATTTTGTTTAAGCAGACCTCTGTGATGGCAGTAAGAACGGTGTTCTTGTATGTGGAACACTCTCTGCCCTAAGCTCAACAGTGATCCTTCGTCACACTGCAACCGGTCACATACCAGGGAGCGTGAGGTCATCCATAATACACAGGCGGCCCCTTTGGAGTGGTGAATGGGAAATGCTGTGACCTCTGACCTCTGTCTGCACCAATAGAATGAGCTCTGGCTTGGTAACAGCCAATGACACGCAATCTACCGTCAGCACTGTCCGTGCTGAGGTTCTGGGAACAACTTCACGTGTGTGTGTGTGTGTGTGTGTGTGTGTGTGCATGAGCATGTGTTCACGCATTGGTAATACAACACGCGCAAAAATGCATACACAAACACACATACAGATACACACACATATTAGACTGTACATCTGAATTATAGCTGGGCCAGACTGTCAGGTTTATGTGCTTTGGGTCTGGTATACACTGCAGCTATGAAACACTTTTTCGCACAGATCTGTACAATAGCTGTTTTGTTGTAATAATAATATTGTAATAATATTTGAAAAATCACATACACAAATGCATGCACGCATAGAACATGCTTTTCATAAAACACATGCAGTTAGGCTTCGCAAATGCAGAAGGTAAGGTCATGTCATGCGACACTATGTACAATAACACGCTCTATAGTCACATTCTTCTCCCGACACAGCATGCAGGCTGCTGCATGCGCCCGACCTCACTGACGGTCGAACACAGCCAGCTCACATTCGGGCTCCATGCCACAGGCCCAAAATCAATCAAGACTTCATATATTTGAAGACATGTTGACCCGAGTTCCTACACCCCGCCCCTTCTGCTCAGGAGACAGGTGATTGGTGTATATTGGCTCCATCAAAATGGCCATGTGAATGACAGGCTCCCCCTTTCTAATCAATGGCCGCCACCAGTTTGAGCATTAATCACTGTGCTATGCAGCAGAAGCTGTGTCAACTCCATTGTTAATTACGCAAAACCAAAAAAGGCTTGTTATTTAACCAGACAAACTTTCAAAACAAACAGCAGAATAGTAAGAGCTCAGACTGTATATGTGTGTGACTGTATGTGTGTATTAATCTCTCACCTACTTCCTCTTGCTTTTGGCAAGGTGATACAGAAGGTCAGCCAAAAACAACCATTAAACCAGGCTCCATTCCAAGTACATCACGCTGCCTATGCTCTGTGTGTTAGCTTGAAACTGCTTTTAGCATGATGCTACTGTTAGCATGCTACGGCTGTTAGCATGTTATTACTGTTAGCATGCTACTGCTGTTAGCATGCTATCACCAGCCAGCCGCTGAGCCCAGAACGGGGCTCTCAGCCATACAGTGTCACAGCATTTCCTCATGTTTAAAGGTTATAGCTTCAGTTTCATAATAAAGGTTTACGGGCTGCTGCAAAGCATGCAAATATTTGCTATTTATGCGGTGAAGCACAACCACGAGAATTACACTGATGAAGAAGCTGGCCACCGTCCTCAAGTCCTCTATGCTCTACCGTGGTCTAAGGGCTGCAGTTGGGTTGGGGTCATGGGTATGACAGGCTCACGGATGCACAGGGACTGTAAATGTACAGCGACCCACAGCGGGCCTGACACACAGCGACTCGGTGCCTACAGGCCGCACTGTGATTGGCGAGTCCAGGAGCGACCAAGCAACAGAAGCACAGTGGGGAGGACAGTGAATGTCACAGGTGTTGATGTGACACAGAGGACCCAGGATAGCATCCTGATACTTCATTCACAGCTCAGCCAGCAGGGGGCGCCCACTGCACCCCTGCCTAATGGTCAGTAGAGGGTAAAACTTGCCTAGCGGAGGGAGGGGGCCTATTTTAAAAAAAGAGACTCCTGCACTCCGGCATGACGGGTTCAGGGGACTAGAAGGGGCGAAGAAGACTTAAACTGCTATTTCAAAATCAGTCCTCCATGTCCAGTTCCCCATACAGCCAATAACGTCAGGGGAGTGAAACGCCATCGAACATAGGAGAGGGAGAGGGAGAACGGCAGAGGAAAGCTGGAAGGGAAAGGAGGAATCAAGAGCATGTGTGTAAAGGAGAGCGCTAAGAAATCATGCTGCATTTGGGTGGAACCGCAGACGGAACCGAGGGACAAGGGCAGCCGGTAGACCGGAAAGCCTGGAAGAGAAGGTACAGTAATAGAAGGATGACGTAGGAAAACCCAGG